TCTGCTGAAGTAGTTGGTGGCATGACTGGTCTATTCATAAGTGAAGCCTCTGAAAATAATTAATTCTCAGGAGATAACAAACTACCAAAATATAGGCTGTATTTAGTTGTGAAAGGTTCCTCGGTATTCTATCCACCTCGTGCACAACCATGGTAGATAAAAGGATCAAGAAGTAGCTTGGGATATAATTTTCAGCCAACTTCATTTAGATAGTCACAATTAGGAAAGAAGTTTAAAAATGCGTGGACTGAAGATGTATTCCAAATTTTTTTTTCTTGTGACTCTTTATTAGATTTTAGAGAAGAGTACTCATGGGCAAAAAATAATCTGGCTCAAGTTTCCATATCATGAAAGCCTTTATAACAGCTACCAAATACATTTAAAACATAGGAAAACTGACATTTCAAACATATTACAATAAATTTTTAATATATGAAAAGAAATATATTATTATATAATATATCCTATTATTATATAGAGAGAAGAATAGATATATGAGGGTACTTCAAAAAGTTTGTGGAAAAACAGAATTAAAAGATAATATGAATCTTTCCATAAACTTTCTGAAATACCCTCAAGATAATATATGCAGAAAGAAACACATTTACAAACTGATGCCTATCTGTAAATGGGTCATTAGGCTCAATCTAATTTTGGAGACACATTAAGAAACATATAAAATCATCAGGATTTTTGATGGTTGACAGTAATCAAAGGGGAATTAGTTTTCTCTCCTTGGTCTCACTTTCTAATGCACCAATGCCTGGCATACAAAGTTTGAATATCAGAAAAATGCATTCTAACGCATTTTATTGCTTTCCTTTATTTTGTATGCTTTTGACAAGTGCAAATAACATCCAATTTCATTTCCCATATAACTCTTTTACTGTATTTACTGTATCTGTTAATTCTGAAGTTTCGCCATGTTTGGACAGGGCCATTGCCTTTTGCTAAAGTACAACTTGCAATCAGGTTGGTTTCTACAACTGGGATTAAGAATGCAACCCAGTTTCTATCTGCTCGTCTCATGGGGTTTAAGTACAACAATAGAGAGAAGTCTTATTTCTCTCACATCTTTTTTTTTGGAAATTTTTTCTTCCTTAGTTTTACAGAAAACACAGACTATCTCAATCTTACCAGCTTATCCCTACAATCCTACATATAAATCTAATGCAAGAGGAAACATTAGAATGAACTCTGATTATCCACCTAAGCATATGTTTAGGAGCAAATATTCAATGATTCTCTAGAAATTTGGTTTATTTGCTCTCCTTCCTCCTCCTCCCCACACATACTGGGGGAAAAAACCTCTGACTTTAACACCTTCTTTAGAACTGTTAATGTTCTTCCTTTTCTGTACCAAAATGAAAGGGCTAATTTTGTCAGACTGTTTCTTAGTCCTTGTTGACCTTTCCTGGAACACTTGTCAATGTCTAAGTATTTTCTGGGTCAGGGCAATCACAAACTGCCCATCAGATGGAGGGGTCGGCAGTGGAAATGGAAGAGCTGCACACTCCAAACGGACCTTTCATAAATCCATTCACGGTTAACACTGCCAACTTTAAGCCTAGACACACTTAGCACAATTAAATTACGTTTAAAAAATGCATTTTATGAGTAATATGAAATAATTATCAATATTTACATCCTAAAAAAATAAGAAAAAATGCATTAAACCCTTTTTCTAAAAATGTAATTTCAGAAGGAAAACCCTAAACGCAGATTTCTTTCTAGTCCTAATACCATGAACCATCAATAAATCCCCACCGTGGCAGACAATGTGAACAGAAATGTCATGGCTCTATTTTCTAAGAATCCAGCATGAGCATCAGCATCCACATTACTCTGAAATGTTACTTATTTGATCTAATTTTTGTAATGAATTTAAAACTATTCTGCATGTAGCTCAATAGAGTTATGTCCAGTTTTACCACAAGTTAAAGACTAATGCTGGAACCTTACAGACAACACATCATTTTTTCCTGTCAAGCCAATTTTTAACATGTAATTCCTAGACATACTAATTTTTAAAATTTTTAAAAATTGCACCACAAAATAGAGTGACGTAGTTTCCTTGTTTGTTTTTGCCAATTTTGCATAAAGAAAAATAAATAACACTCACTCCAAGCTCAAGAATCTATAGCTACCTGTATACCCCCACCTCCCAGGCTTAAAAAAAATAAATAAAAAACAGTACCCATTGAGAGGCAGATTAGGAAAATTCTTCTGATACAAGAAACAAATCATGATGCTAATTTGCTACAACCCTTGCCTGAAACAAGTACCATAACATTAGAAGAGTTAGAAAAAACTTTAGAAGTTTAAATAATTATGGTGTCTTTTTATTATTACATGAATGGAATAATTCCCCCTCTTGAATGTTTGTCCCCTCTTCATCAACACTTTGCTTGCTTTCAGGCACATGGCTGAGAATATTTTAAATTCATCGCCTGTTTCGCTAGCTGAGCCATCTTGTACAATCCAATCTTGTCTTTAAATTGCTGCCTATTTCCTTCAGGATCCGCAGATGGACAACAACACTACTGTCTCCTGGGAGACCAGCCAGGCAGCACAGAAGCGAATGGAGCACGAGAATGTAAACTAGTACGGCCAGAAACTGCAGAGCCACCAAAAAATACTTACACTTGTACAGCAGAGAGTCTCCATGCAGCAAAAAGAAAGGAAAAGAATATGAATGGAAAAGAGATAAAGCAACAGCATTACTAGAAAAGGGGAAGGAGAGAAACACCATTCACAAAGAAACAGAAAAGCTAAAATATATAAAAAGCCTTCATAGCAAAGGAATAAGCCAAGAATGAGGCCAAAACTTAATAGCTTAAGGCATCCAACCTAGCTTTTTATAAGCAGAAGCACAATTACAGCTCAAAAAATTGCAGAAACTCTTACATACAGATATTATCTTTTTTGTAAATGTGTGCATAGTGTCATTTACCAACCCCATAAGGCACTAACCCTGTTTGTGCTCCAGAGGCACATAGTGCACACAGCACTGGTTGCATATTAGAAAGCCACATGCAAGTCCTGGCTCCTGGACCACAGAGCTAGTCCCATCAACAAAGTAGAGACAGAGTATCTATGGGAGTGTACATGTGTCCCTTCTGGGGGTCATACATCATTCCACGTTCCCCACTGCATTCTAGGATGCAGGAGCTTTGAATTCTCTTGCTTCGTCAGGCATCACAGCTTCTCAGATCCTGTGCCAGGATCTAGCAGAGTTAGCTACCCACGGCGTAATTAAATGTTGATGATACCTTATATCTTAGTGGGAATTTAAGTCACCTTATATTTCCTAAATGTGTGCATAGTGTCATTTACCAACCCCATAAGGCACTAACCCTGTTTGTGCTCCAGAGGCACATAGTGCA